CGGATGCTGGGGGGACTGCATCACAATTCAAAAGTCAGGAAAACGCCGCAACCAACTCTTATTTACTAGAGGAGATGAAGCCGACATGAACTAGTGACCAGGCTAGAGTCACGCCAACAAATCCAAACTAGAAGCCAAGAGAGTTACGAATGTCAATCAGTTAAGTGTCCTGCTACCCCTAGTAAATGAAGCGGACACGTACCCTAGCAACCTAACCACTATAGGTAAAATAGAAGGAAAACCTGTTCATCTAATGGTGGATACTGGTGCACGCGTTTCAACTATTAAAGAAGAAGTTTTAAAAGAAATCTATGGTGATGCTCCTTGTTCCGCAGTTCAGACTGCTACTACAACTAATAGGAATTACGTATACCTTGCCTTTATACCTTAAGAATATTCATTTCCCTCGTGAATTCAAAGTCGTGCACAAACTTGCCTATAATGCCATCCTTGGTCGCGATTTCCTCCAAGTACAGAGCCATGATTAACCTCGATAACAACACCATTACTTTAAAAGAACTGGTAAATCAACAGAAAGAAGCAAGTTCAGCGAGTGCCTCTAATAGGAACGTTTATACCTCAAGAAAATAATACCAAAGCAGCTAGAAACGCCTCCACTAGTAAAGCTTCTTTAAAGCCCACTCCAGAAAATTTTTCTTTCTTTCCAAAGAACAAAAAGTTGCACTAAGCCAGTCTTTCTTGATATCAGTGCTCATTACTGTGTCCCAGTCCGCAACAATTCGCAACGACGCAAATGATAACTTCAGGTCTGTTATCCAAAAACCACTACCGTCCTTCGCACAGATGTCACAAAGAAGGTTTGGCACCAAGGTGATCTTTTTGATACTCCAGCCAAAACTGATTACAGAATGGAATCTAACAAGGGATTTGATCGGTATCAAGAAGCACCTCCAGGAATATTAATGGCTAAGTTTCATTATGTATCCAAGAAGAGTATTTATCCTCAGACGCCTGACCGACTCTTGCAAAAGGCAGAGAGTACCACTTAACTGTTGACCA